AAAAAAAATTTAATTTTTTTTTCAAATGACCCCCTTACCCTTGAAATATAGCCGTTGGAGGGGTCTTTTTCGTCATTTTTCTTTCCCATTTTTTTCTATAAATTGGCCCTAAACTTTCACATTTTTCTCACAACTCAAATTCTCTCATTCTCTCATATTCTCTAATCTCTAATCTCTAATCTCTCAATATTCATTTATTCTCTTAATCTCTTTGTTATCAATTTGCTCGTATTTTAATTTTTATTAGTTTTTTCAATTTTTAATTCATATTTCCAATTTTCCAAATTCCAATTCTGTTTCTTTAATTTTTATTTCTTCTACATCAATTTTTTTTTTCAACTACAATGGATAGATATTTCTCTCCCATCAATTACAATGATGAAGGAAACTACTATCCTAGTCCTAGTCCTGTTGATTTTACTAACATAAATGCAGGAGGAGATTCAAATAGTCCCGCTTTCCCATTCTCAGAATCCGATACACCTCAAAATATGCCCCCGATTCCAATAGCTCCCGGTGGTTCTAGAAGTCGTCCTCGTCCAACTTCATCTCAAGCTGAGGCGGGATCATCAATTGCCATCGAAAGCGAAGACAGACACACATAAGACGTTTGGGCGTATTTCGACAAGTTTTACAAGACAGAAAATGGCGTTCAAGTCAAGAAAGCGAGATGCAAATACTGTGGAAATATTTATAAAGCTGATTCAGGTAATGGTACTAGTACTTTAAAAAGGCATGCTAATAAACATATTAATCAACATGGAAATAAAGAAAGCAATCAAACTCAAACAACTAATATGGGTACTAATTGGCGTTATAATTCTGATGTATATAGGGAACAGTTAGCTTTATATATTGCTGCAACTGATCAACCTATATATGGCTGAGATAATATTTTGAAAGATTTGTTCAAAATTCATTTTTTCCAGGATTTAAAAGTATCTAAACTGCAACTAGAATGATTTAATAAATTGTTTAAAAAATTGAATTAGAATTAAAAAATAAAAATACATACTTGTATGTTAGTGTGGCTCTAACTGCCGATATTTGGAGTGGGTAGAGCTAAACAAGATTATATTTGTGGGACTAGTCATTATTTTGAAATGAATGTAAATAAATAAATCTTTATTAGGATTTAGATTAATGGATGTTGATCATAGTAGTGAACAAATTTATAATAAAATTGTTGAAGTTTTAGAAGATTATGATGTTGTTGTAAGTGATAAGTTTAACTTTAGATAATGCAAGTTCTAATAGTAAAGCTATAGATTATTTTCAAAGTAATTATCCTTTATAACAATTTGAAATTTTTTCACCAACGTTGTGCATGCCATATTATTAATTAATTGTGAAAAGTGGTATGAAAACAATTAAGAAAATATTAATAGAATAGAGATTGTTGAGCTTGGATTACTAGTAGTAATAAAAGAAATGCTAAATTTCAGACGCTTGTATAAAATCAAATATGTCTCCTAGAACTTTTGCATTAGACATGCCTTTTAGTGGAATAGTACTTATTTATGCTTGATCATGTTTACCTTATGCTAATAATTAGTTATTGTTAGCAAATAATAGAGGTCCTCATTATTGGTAGAAAATGATTGGCAAATAGCTAAAGTTTCATTCTTTTCTTAAAACTTTTTACCAATCCACTTTACAACTTCTAGTATGTATTATCCTACTAGTCCATGGTAATACATTCACTTATAAAAATTTCCAAGTTATTATAAAAAAACAAGGACAATGTAATTTTAAAAGCACCAATAAAGGCAATGGAAATTTTTTTTTTAAAATATTGGGAACCCAATCCTTTCTTTTTGTTTAGGTGCTATATTTGATCCTAAAATTAAATTAGCAGGTTTAGAAAATGGTTTTGACAATTTATGTGAAAATTTACAAAATGAAGTATATGTCAATCAAATAGGAGAGGTAAAAAATACACTTTTCGAAGTATATTTCCAGTATGAAAACAGGTTAGAGAACCCGCAAAGAGGCGAAACATCCACGGAAGCTGCATCAGAAGAAACAAATAAGACTTCTACTCTGGGGTGCACTGAATAGGCCAAAGAGGACCCGAATCGAAGCACAACTCCTCTTCAAAAGCTCCACCAAAAACAACAACTAATGTACTGTCTTCCATGCAGTCGCAGAGTAATGAGCTTCAACAATATTTGGCAACCCCTGAAATGTTACCAGTAGATCCACAACAGAGAGCCAACATTGATCTTTAGACTATTGGAGAGCCAGAAAATGTATTTTTCCGGTATATCAAGACTTGCCTTGGATGTTTTCGCGTGTTCCTGTCTCAACCGTCTCATCCGAACAAACATTTAGTGCAAGGGGAGAATTTTAAATGAAAAGAGGACTAAACTTTCACCACAAATGATTGAAGTCCTACAGTCTTCGAGATGGGAACGGTCGCGCCCTCAAGGTCAATACGAGGTTGTCAACGATCCTTTAATAGAATCATTTCAATTTGTAATATGATACGGATGAGGGAGGTATTAGTGAACCCCAAAATTAGTTTTTTGTAAATGTAACTTGTAAACTAATGTCAATTATTGCATCTTTTTTCCTTACCAAGTTTTTGTCCTATTGGGTTTTCTTGATGAGGTTTTTAACGAGGCAAAATTATTGTAATTTCTTATTTATTTTTTAATAATGAATAAATTTAATTATTTTATATTACAATTTTAATGTATTAAAATTGATTAATATTTGGAATGTTAACAAAAAAAAAATAATTTAATTTAATTATTGATATTTGAAAAGAAATTAACAATTAACTAAAAACAATTACATTATTCATTTATAAATTTTTAATATTCATTTGAAAAGTTAATTAAACATTTAAACTTAAACAAAATAAAACAAAACAAAATCAAAAAGAGGGTTAACCCGGCGCACCCATGGCCTAACCGACGGGTTAGGGTTGGCGGTCCGGGTTGGGCCAGCCAATTCCCTAACATTGGCGGGCTAACGGCCTGCCAATGTTACCGGGCGGGTCAGGACCGACGCCAATAGCAACCCGCCGGGGTCGGGTGGGCGGGTTGCTTTCCACCCTAGTTGCAGCATAAAATGAAGAGAAAAAAAATAATAATCCAGTTATCCTTAATCAATGTAATCTCTAAAAGGCCTAAACCCTAAATTTAACTCTCAATAAGCAAACAATGTGTAAATCCTAAGCACTAGAATAACACAATTACTTAACTGCGGATTAAAGAAACCTCAAATAGATTTTGTGCTCCCGCAATGAAATATAATTCCTACATGTGATAATTATGAACTAACAAAATCAAAGGCTAAGGTGGATTGGAAATATTCATTTTCACGGAATAGTTGACATTCGGGAGTGATTGACGAATTGCCCTTCTTGTTGTTTCTTGTCTTTTACTGTCAAATAAAAGGTTCTGTTGGTTAGTGAAAGGGTAAATTTTGGAAATTTCCATAGCATTCTGAAAAATCGTACTTAGTCCCTATTTTAGATAAGCAGTAAAAAGGTCTTGTAAAATTTTATTTACAAAGGGTATTGTGACCTTTCAACTCAGAAATTTATATTTACACCTTACAAAAAATATTATAGTTAACTGATAAAATTAGGGGTGGAAAAAACCAGTTAACCGAACCGGTTTATCCTAACATTGAACCGAAACAGTTTTCGGTTTTTTAAAAAATTGAACGAAAGAGGTCGTTTTCTTTGTAAACCGGTTTCTAACCAGACCAAAAATTTGGTCAGGGTAAACGATTAACTGGTTTTAAATCGGTTAACTCAAATAGGTTGGATAATTCGGCCCAATTCAATCAAACCCACCACTTTGGCCCAATTCTTTTTTTTTTTTTTTAAACAGGTTTATTCAAATGGACGACCTGTTGTAGTGCTGCTGTTGCGTGTTCTCAAGTGAAGATTCACGAAGGGCAAGTGACGACGGTCAACGATGACTGGAACGACGGCAGACGACAGCTGTACCTGAAATGAATTGAAAATTGATTTAGGTTTTTAGCAAAAGAGACAGGGTTTTAGAGAGAAATGAGAATAAATTGGGAGTAGTACTATTGTAGTGTTGCTGTTGTATGTCACTGTGTTGTCAAGTGAACACGGAAGGCGAGCGACGATGGGAACAGTTGCCTGGAAAAATGGCAGCTGCAGCTTGCAGTGAACTGAGATGAAAATCAGTGGGCGCAAACAACAGACCTCTAAGACAAAATGCGAAAACGGGAGAGGGTTAGACAATGTCAAGCGAATGTTCACACTTCACGAAGGCTGAGCAACGACGGTGGACGGTGATTGGAAAGACAACGACAACAACTGGCAATGAACTGAGATGAAAATGGGAGAGGGCTAGACAATGTCAAGTGAAGGTTAAGTAGTTCATGGAGGTTGAGCGACGACAGTTGACGGTGACTGGAAAGATGGGCGACGGCAGGCGGCAATGGACAGTGAGTTGAAAGTGGAATTGGTCGGCAGTGGCGCAAAAGAAATTTTGTGAAAAGTGCCACTGGAATGGAAAATGAGCATTAGTGAAGACCTAGGGATAAATTTTTTAAAAATTGAAAAATATAATTTTTTTTATTCATTAAACTGGTTTAAAAATCCAGTTCCGGTTAACCGTTTTGGTTATTTCAAAAAATCGAAACTAAACCGAATATTCGGTTTACAAAATATGGCAAACCGAAACTGGAAAAAAACCGAATTTTCGGTCCGGTTTTCGGTTTTTTTTCCACCCCTAGATAAAATAACATGTGCATAAACCCTTGGAATTTACAAAGTTTGCGTTTAGTTGAGATATGGATCCAAATTGTATTGTCTTCTCTCAACCATTGCACTAGAATATATGAATAATTATTAAATTGTGACAAAAAAACCTATATGACAATATTTTGGATATAAGAAGATTGAACCTTCATCAACTGTAAATGGACTAAAATTTTCATGTCAAATACGGATAAGCCCAAAACTTTTATTTGGGCTTTCTCTGTTCCTCTCCATTCCAGCTAGTAGACCTGCACGTGAAGATGGCAACCTAAACGCCACCGTTCCAAATGTATAGACTTCCAACTTAAGTAAATGTGATAATAAGATCTGGAATTAAACACCATGGCCATGGAGGTCTCTGAATTCCTTCACACTCCCTTTTACTGGTAACTCTCTTTTCTTTTTTTCAGGGTTTGATTTGAGTTTTTAACGAATATTAGGTTACTGTTATCTTTATTTATTTCAGCGAGGAGAATGTTTACTTGCTTTGCAAGAAATTGTGCGCCAATGGAACGGCCGATGCCGACGGATCTGATCTTTTTGTAGTCTTCATCTCTAATGAGAAGAAACAGGCATGTATGTTTACTTTTTCTTTCTTCATTTACAATAAAGTTGAACTTGGTCTCAAATTTATTTTTTCACAGTTCAATGGCAAACTTTTGGAAAATGGAGTAGATTGAGGGGTGATTTTACTATGATACAATATGTTAATTTGCAGTCAATTCTTTTTAAGTTGCATGGTTGACTCAGTAAATGATATTCACAATCTTTAATTTGTTATATTTTCTTATACTTCTGAATTTTTGGGAAAATGGGTATCTTTTACTTTTTCAAGGCACACGTAACTTATTTGAATGAGAGAAGTAGTAGGTTATATAGATGTGGTCTTCGGAATTGATTTTATGGTTGGAATACACTAGTCAATTGCAGACTCGCCGTGTCTAGAATTTAGCATGAGATTGAAATATTATCTTTTATTTTTATTATTACTTTTCATGATTATGTTCTAGATTCCCCTGTGGCATCAAAAGGCTAGTAAGAGAGCGGATGGAATTACTCTCTGGGATTACCATGTCGTTTGCATTCAGGTGACAGCTAAATCTTATTTACTTTAAATGTAGTTGTTATGGATTGGTAGAGTAGGTTGAATGTTATGGATTGATAAGTAGGTTGAATGGCTATAATTTTGGTCAGTGATGGTTATTTTTTGTTTCTTTTATTGCCTTTGGAATATGCAGAGGAAAAAGGATGGTGATTCTCCTTGTTTAGTGTGGGACTTGGATTCTAGTCTTCCATTTCCTTCTCCTTTGACTCCCTATGTGTCAGAGACTATCCGTCCTTCATTTCAGCTCTTCTCTGAGTTTCAGAGGTAAGCTGTCATTTCCTTCATGGTTTTTTTATGAGATTACATGCTGATTCTGAGTATATATCAATGCATTTATGATAAGCTTACTGGAATCTGTAACCTAAGTTGTAGTATAATTGCATTTAAGCAGCCATGGTTTTTAATATTAAAGGAAATAAGAACACCCACATCAGCGTCCGAGGACAGGTCCTTATCCAGCATGGCTTAATTACAAAGTGTACACAGTCTTCATATGTGAAAAGTTAAACATATGAACATTTTTAAGAACACTATTGCTACTGCTATTAGCGATTCTTTTACTGGAGAACAATCTTGTTCCAAATTATAGGACTATTTTGGTTCTTGTAATTTCCATGCTCTATTGCTGCAAATCAAAGAAGACTGGCATGATACTCTCCTCCCTTATCCCTTTATTTCACATTTAAAAATTATTTATTGATGGTGTTTTTTTCTCCAATGGATAATTTAGTAATTGGATGTTTCCCTTCAAAGAATCTTCAATTGTTTAATATTGTGTACTAAAGTGTAACGATTCATGACGAACTTTGAAGTGAAGTTCTTATCCAGAGAAAAATAATTATCTGAAAGAAATTTTAGTGCTAGAGAGCTTCACTTTGAGAATGGAGATCTGAGAAATATTTTGAGAAATAATGATGTTATTCTTCAGCTTTGATTGATCATTGAACCAGACTGTTTTGCTCCCAGAGTGTAGCCAGGTCGTATAGGATCCATTAGATTGCTCTTTGCAAGATAGTTTTACCTGGTCCATTAGATTACCGGGATGATATTTTTAACAATTTGTCCTGATTTAATCATGTTGGGCATTCAACTCCACCATCTTCTGTGGATAAAGAATATAGTTTTTTAATTTATTTTTATTATCTTTATTATTGCAGTCAATATTTCTGAAAGAATTCTAGTTGCATTTTCAAATTTCTCATGGATTGGGCTTTGTTAGGGTAGTTAATATCATTGTCCAAACTGATTTGAAGGAGGATCAATACTACAATTAGTCATGAATTTGTAATGTTTATGTCAGACTTTTTATATTACAATCTGTTTGTTGAGATACTAACATTGTAAGACAGTCCTGCCTGTATCACTGATGTAATTTGTCTGTTTCAACTTTGTAAAGCACTTGATGTTTCATTTGTTGGTCGATTAAAGTATATTCCAAATTCTAAGCTTGCTATTAAATGATTTCTGCTATAAGAACTTATCTTCTTGGCATTAGGTATTTCCGGATTGTGCATGCTCCCATATTCATTCGTTACTTTGCATCTGATCGAAGACATATGAAGGACTCTGCTGGGAACTGGGTTGCTGAACCTCCTACATATGAACCCATAGTTGCTGAAGGTAAGGACAATAATCATGTACAAAAACTTGCCTATAAGTTTAAAGGTATAGTAATGTTTTTCAATTGTAGTCATTTTGACTTTTTTTTTTTTTTTTTTTTTTTGGTAGTATGAGTCTCGTTTATAATAGTTAACAAGCTCATGATATAGATATCTTGAATGAGAATTAACCTTTAAGAATAATTTTGACATTGCATCCCTGTTAATTTAATTAATGACAAGAAACCGGTGGTGTAATTAACCTCTTCATTGATACAAATAAATCAATATGGTTTTGAAGATTAAAGTATCCTCCCTTCCTATCTTATGCTCCATCGATCTCTCCTCTCTTCTCATATGGACACAAAAAAATCATGTTGGTTAGGCTTTCAGTAGTTCGTATATTTTGAGTAGTGGCAAACCTCGTTTATGTTGTAATTTAAAAAAAAATATATATATATATATATATATATCTTTAAGCTGTTGCATGTAAAACTTGGATTTATTTTGGTGGTTTCCTGTGTCTGCTTGTTCAGACAACAATGTGCACAACTTAAATGAGTACATCGAAATGCGTGCTGCTGATGTGGCAACAAATGTTGGAGCTGATCTGATTAATGCTGTTTCTACTGAAAAACTTGGTGCGGTGATTGATGAAAATCAACTGGAGGAATTTTTTTCCCAAATTTCTTGAGGAATTCTGTTTTTGACGCTTGCAAATAACATTTGTGAGTGATGCATATTTTGGATGTATGAACCAGCAGTCTGTTTCTTATAAAAAGTTCATCCAGAGCTAGGAATATAGAGAAAAATGTGCTCGGTAGATATTATTGTTGTTTTTCTTAGTTAGGCTTCATCGCTGTAACTAAAGGAAATAAGTCAGGTGTTTTCTATCAGAAAGCATGGTCTCAGTAGACAGGTTCTGTAAAATGCTAATTTGGCAGTATTTATTACTGTGTTTATCTGGTGTTGTTTGATACGGCTTCCTCAGACACTTTGCAAAGCATGTGTTCTTGATTTTGACTATTTGCTTTGGCTCTTTTCCCTAATAAAAATGATTTTAGTAGCAGTAGTTTAATAATTTATTTTTGAGAATGAACCCAAAATACTCATAAAATAGTTGACTATGACAATTGACAAGCCAACATTTTGGGGAATTCTGAAAATCTATTACATCATCAGGTAAAAAAAAAGACAAAGGCCTCTTCAAAATAATTGATCAAAAGGCAACGAGACGATTCAGCATAGCGTGTAAGTATTCACCAAGGACTATCTCTATAATGAAAAATAAATAAGTGATTATATCTATTGATTACTATGGTAACCAACACTATTGATCCAAAAATAGTAGAATTCCCTCAGGCAAGTTTGGTAATAGCAATTACTTTTGTGATTACTGACTATTGTGGGAAATTGGCTGCAAGTCAAATTCACCTTTCCCATTTGTATTATTTGGACAAAAACAAAATGGTGCCCAAAACCCGTAAGTGTACCTGATGAACAGGCAAAACAATTCAAGTTTCATCTTCATTATCTGACAGCAAGCAATCTTGTATTTGCTTCCTGTAAGCAGGAAAAAAAGAAGAGGGTTATAATTTTTGGGACGCAATACGATAATTGCTCTACACTAGGATATCAATGAGTTTTATAGCAAATCAATGCAATGAATATAAGATCAGGCGATTTTAGGGATTTGAAGTAATAAACACATCATAGTTAAGGTGTAGTGCTGGTTTTAAATGTTAATTCTCACCTTAAAGAACTGAAATTGCCATTGCTACCACGATTTGCTCTGGCAACCAATGGCTCAGGTAGAAGAGAATAAAAATGCTCCATTGATGAGGAATCGTTGGGAAATATCTGAAACCGGCAACTTGAACAACAGGCCGCACCAAAAGCATCTGAACTCTGGCGACTCTTAGAACTGCTTAAACTATTTAAGTCTGATGTGTTGAGTGGGCTATAGCATAAAGGACAGAATGACTCTGAGGAAATGGATTCATTACACTTGAGATTGAATCTCTTTTGACGCCTTCGTGATGCTAAAGGAACATTAGAGTCATTTAATTCTGGAATCCTGTTGAAGTGAAACGGAGTTAGCTTTCCAGCTGTCCGCACAATTGTGCACTCTCGAGAAGGATTCTCTTCCTGAAAAACAAATTTCCATTAGAATTCCTAATGGAGGTACCTCTTGCAGATGATAATCAACTGCTGGCCACATCAATAATTTTGACCATGCTACAGAAGTGTATTCCTACTTTTAAGGAATAAAAGACATAAAGATGGAGCTGAAAGGAACTTGATCCAAACCCAGTTTCTACCTGCAATAGTTTCACAAATGATGATACCAGGCCATTGATACCAGTGGAGGGACCATTAAGCAACTCCACAATCTGTAGACTGCCCTGCCAAGAGATCAGACTCATCATTCAGTAATAAACTAGAAAATCAAATTCTTATTCATAATAATAGTAGTATTTCCCGAAAATAAAAAACTTTTTAACAGTTTAAAACAGAGCTCTAAAAATGCTGTTTAATTTGCAGATACTACAAACTTCTTAGACACAAAAGTGAGTTTTATACAAAGATAAAAGGAAACTGGGGAAGGTAACATACCCATCAAGGTGGCAAAGCCTGTTGAGCTCTTGTGCTATACAGTCACGAAGTGGAAGCACCACTGGAATCTCCCACCTCGCTAGTTGTATGACATATAGACGACCATTCCTTATCGGAACTGGGACATCTTCGTGTATGTTGTTGAACCAACCAACAACTAGTGTTTATATTAACTAGAGAAAATGAAACTGATATAACACAAAAACCTCCAATGCGATATCAGCAATTTACAATCCCAGCTTATAATAAAAAAAAAAAAAATGAAAAATGACTGCGACCCACATCACATTTGTCTTGCCCCTTACTTTGCCCAAATTATTATCCACAATTCAAATGCCACTATTTAAGGTATGTTTGGTACACTTTTTCAAGTATGACTGTTGAAAATAGAGCTTAGAAGTAGATCTTAGAAAAATGCAGCTTTTCAGAAAAATCTGTCAGTTATTTGGTTAGATATATACAAAAAAAAAAAAAATTCTGGCAGTAAATTACCAAACTGCTAACAATGTCATAAAGGATGACAAAACATCAAGGAATCTTTGACGTTTCTAAATTCTAAGCTAAAAAAAAGTTTATAGGAAAAGCCTCAATTTTGAGTTTTTTCCTAGTAGACATTACACAGCCTATCTTATCACCCAAAAGCACTTTTTAAGTTGCAATCAAACAAAAACAAATTATTTGAAAAGAGATTTTGATATTAACAAGTTCTTTTCGCCAATAAATAAGCCCAATCAAATGGTCATTGTAGTTAATTTCAAGTCTACAGAATTCACTGCCTGTTGAAACCGGCTTGAAATACATTCTTCCAGGGTTTACTGAATGTTGATTTCTGGATCAAAAAAACTGATAACAATGATGAAGATATATTACACCTCTATATTAATAACACTTCAACAATGCTATTATAACACATTTTATTTTTTTAGTTAAAATAACTTCAAAGATCAACAGTTACAAATATCATGAAGTAATTAGAATGGAGAAAAGCCGCATGCTAAAGTTAGTCTCCTGCATCAAGCATATAGTTTCTTCTAAAATTATTCACTATGCCCTACATCTTACCAGGTTATAAGTGTCTATTTTGAAAATATCAATCGGACTTCACGAACAAAGTATAACATATTATCCATAAGAAATAATCCTTGGCTTTAAGAAATAAATTGCAATCAACAGATTAGTACCAAAGACAGACCTTCACAGTGGCTGAAATAACATGGCAAGCAATCCTTGATGTACATAGTCCCAGTACCACTCTATTGTATCCATTTTCAGAAGCAATCTGTAAAAGAATATTAAAAAGGCTAAGATAAGAAGATTTTGTAATAGATAACACAAAGAAAGCTACTCTTGTACGAATTAATACATCAAAAGTTATATCTAAATCCAAACCTTTTGCAAAGTCAACATCCTTAGATGCATCAGAAGATCTTCTTTCCCAGTGGCATCACTAACAGAATCTAGTAACTTTTTAAATCTCTCCCTTCCATCAAATGAATCCGAAGAGAAGGTACTTTCTATTGGAACAACATGTAACTCTTTTGCTGGCGGGGCAAGAAGCGATACAATTGATCTAATTTTTTGAATGGCTTCGTCAACTTCATAAGATGATACCGGACAATATGCACTTTCATCAATGAATGCAACTCCAACACCAAATACCGGTAAAGATCTATCTCTACTAGCATCATAATTCTTCTGTGCCGTCTGCTGCTTCTCATGTACAAACTGAAGTGCCACCCTGAACAAAATTGCATTTACCTTCACAATGACTTTTCAACACAGTAAAAAGGGACTTACTGACTTACAAGTTAAGTAACAATTTACTCTACCCACTAAAACATAATGGTAGCCTATCTGATATCGCTTCCACTTTCGAAAGCAAGAAAATTGTATTCATATCCTTTTAATTCAACATCTAATTTATAACTTGGGTTTCATTTCTTAAATTTTCTCAACTTTGAAACCAATGAAATAAACCCAGTTCCCAAAAGTTTTGACTTGCAAGTTGTAAATTTTATCATTCTTGTTGTGTTAATCGATAAAAACAGCTCCATAACCATACAATATTTACATGAAAATTTGAACATAAAAACGAAAATAGCAATTACCTGGAAGCAGGACCACCGGAGAAGGCGACAAGAACGTTATCAGCGGAGGTGATCAAAGCGTGTGAAGAAACAGCAAGCCTGAACTTTCCGTAGAGATTACTCCTAAAGCAATCCCTACAGAACCTTCCTTCTTCACCTGTGTCGCTGCCGGTCAGGGCTTCATTGGACTTGCACTTTAAGCATATGTTAGAATCACTTGTGGTGGTTGTTGGCTTGGAGTTGGAGTTGGAGTTGGAGTTTTTTTGCTCTTGTTCAAATTCGTTCTTGTAACAACCGGACTGGCAGCTTGAGGAATTGCACGCCATGGCTTCAAGTGTGGCGTCCCCAGTCCAGGCGCGCACTAGGGTTTTAGATCCTTCTGTGGCGAAGGGTAATTTACAAGAATGATCAAACTAGACCTGTTGAAGAAGGGCTATTTTGAAAAAAAAACATATTTTGAGGGGGCTCTTTAAAGCCACTTCAAAAATCATTGTATTCTTTTGTTGTGAACGGCTCAAAAATCATTGGGTATTATTGTATAATAAATCATACCACTGTATCCAAAATTGCTTTTTTTTTTTTAAATAAGATCATTAAAATAATTCTTTCTTTAATATTTTTACGATTTACTCTTTATTTATTTTAAACTATTAACCAACACAATATGAATTTGGCACGATGTAATTTGAATTGATTTTAATGAATTTGTGTTGTATTCAAGTTAAGTGTATTTGTATTCGGAAACTCAACCCATTTAATAATTTTATTGTGTTCGAATTATAGTGTCTTAACCAATAAATATGTTTAATGGCACAATTAATTAAACTATTTGTATAACTCGATTATTATTTAATATAAGATTAACTATTTATGACATTGTTATTCATTTATTATACAATTAAGTCACGATTAATAGATGCTTGAAACAAGTTAACACATGCTATAAACAAGTTAACACATATTATGAACAAATTAAATAAATAAAAACGGATTGAGTTGTGTTACTTTACGAATATAACATGTTTGTTGAACAGGTTGGGTTAAAGCAATCAATAATCACATTCATGTTATCCATTTAATAATCAAGATGAATCTTACACACCAATTCGTTTTGCCATTCCTAATTTTTTTTTTTTTTTTTTTTTTGGGTAATTGGGGTGTTCAGGCCAATTTATACTCACCTTAACTAATTTTCGAGGTTCACTGAACACCCTACAAGCTTAAAGGACTAAATAAGCTATAATATTATTATAGTATGTGACTCCAAGGTGTGAACCTAGAAACTCAAGAAATTAAATAAACCTCTTTAACTACCAGATTGACCCCTTGGGGTTAAGTTTAGCCATCTCTATTCCCTACCATTAAGTGAGAGCCAGAACAATTTCTTAAATATACGAGGGAAGGTGACATTGTTATTTTGTTAACTTTTGGGGTGTTTTAATAAAAGCTGAAACCTTAGGGAGGTCAAGGTAATTGGTCCAAAGTCACCAAGAGTTCAAAACTGGAAAAATAACCGAACTTATGACGAAGAGACCAAAGTGCCCTCAAGATATTAACCCAGCAAAACGTAGATACGAGAAAAACCAGGAGACACTTTTCAGTTTACATTCCGCCAATCCCTAGCTTCATCACAACACAAGACAGTTCCTTTACTTGGCCCAGTGAAGTGATTGGTTGAGCAATAATTTTCTGCCTCAAATCACTCTTGCAAGTAAGTATCAACCACTTCTTTCTTCAACCTTTCATTACGAGTTATTGGCCTGCATGATTACTAGAGTGTTGTGTTGGCTCCATTTTGTTAATCATTTTGGGTGGTTGCGTTAAAAACAGTGGTGTATGCAAAGTGTTTGATCAAATGTTAAACTGAGTGTTACAAAAAAGATTGTTTACTTAGCTCTATTTTCTTAATATATGTGTTTTTCCATTGCCAATTAGTTTATCTTTATGTAGAGAAGACTGATTTTTAATTGTTCATAGCATTTTTTTTTTTTTGGACACAGGACAAGTAAAGAGAGATGGGGTTGCCAGCGGCTTCAGAGTCTGAGGACTTGTCATCAAAGATGGAGGTGGATGCATTCAGACGCCTGTTCCCTCTTCGTTATTTCGAGCGTCATTTGACCGAATCTATACGCCCAGATGCTAGGCCTGTGGGAAGAGCTAGAGATACTACTGTATCCCTTGGTCAGTTAGGGCTTGTGCTTTTATGCCTCAATGTTGAGGTTTTAATTGATTTATGTTGCCAGTTAAATTAAACTGTTTTCTTTTGTAGGTGCTGTTGCATCTGCTGATGGATCAGCACTAGCGAAGATTGGTTCAACTGTTAGTGCTTCACTCTCCTATATGCTTGTTTTTGTGAAGATGAGAAATGAATCAATGAGTGGATCATTTGTTACATCCTACCCTGAACTGTAATTTGTTTCTTGTTCAGACCATGTTGGCTGCTATCAAAATGGAAGTCATGACCCCGTCCTTGGAGGCACCAGATGAGGGCTGCGTAGGTTGAGTGTCATGAACTGAAAATTTTCATTTCTCCTTGGTGTTTATATATCTTTATTCATGATTTATTAAAGGATGCCATCATATACATTTTGTCATTTTCAGCTATTGATTTCCACATGCCTCCAATTTGTTCTCCAATAGTTAGGCCTGGCAGGCCAGCTGAGGCAGCACCAGTAGTATCGAAGCAGTTATCTGACACTATTTTAAGGCATGAAACTTTTTTCTTTAGTTACTTATTGCCGCTAATATTCTCCCCTAAAGCCATTTTATGTTATATTTTAATCGTCTAGTACTACCATCTTTACATATTCCATTTTGTTTCCATTTGGGTTATATGTGTTTTATGACTCAGTTAATGAAAAATTCTCAGTTCTGGCATGATTAATCTGAAGGAACTATCATTGGTCAGTGGAAAAGCTGCATGGATGGCGTATTTGGTAAGTCGTGATGGACTTTACTGTTTGTGGTTGTGTTTTCTAAAGCCAGCTGTCAATTCATATATGTTTGGTGCTCAATGGTTTGGCTTTGAGCAGTATAAAAAACCCATACCATTTGCTTTTGCTGTATAATAAAGTGACTTAAATGTTGTTTAGCTTTGAGCAGTATTGAATACTATGTGCCCTGTTTGCCTTATCTGTATTACAAAGTAACCAGCGGTTTCCTCTTTTGCAGGACATATATTGCTTGGATGCTGATGGTGCTCTTTTTGATGCTGCATTACTTTCAGCAGTTGCTGCTTTCTCTCATTGTAAGATTTTCTCTCTTTTCCATCAATTGATGTATGAAATTTACGTAAGAGTTGGCAAGGCAATACAAGTTAAACTGTCAGATTTGCACATACCATCTCGGCAACCTAACTTGCATTGATATAGTCCTTTTCTGTGAAACTACCTTGTTTCCTTTGGCACGGATCATTAATTATACATCTGTAAAATATATTTTGGGGATTGGGTATGAGTTTATGGGTTGTGTGTATATCATTCTGTGTTTGTACATATGAATATCTGTATGTTCCACGGGATGAATGAATTGTCAAGTTAGTGGAGTCTATTGCGTGAATTGTTAAGTGAGCCCAATTCGAGAATTTTCTATGACATTCTCTCTCAGTAAAACTTTTATTTTATGAAATAAAATTTGGAATGCGATATATCATGCAAGACCTATTTTTTAATGTATGTTGATCAAAGGATCACTTCCTCTGTGAGCCAAAGCGCTGACAAATAGAGTGTTTCTGTGTGGTGTTATGAATTTTTTTCTATTTTTCTCAACATCAACTGTGTGAACCATTGTTTATTTGAAAATTGTGCATACTGTTGCATTTTTTTTTTTTAAATTCAGCAAGGTTTCAAAGTTTTAGGATCTTTATTTTGTAATATATTTCCAAATACTTCACAATAAATCTTCTCTACCTTCCAGTACAAATCCCTGTGGTTTCTCTGGATTTTGAAGGAAAAATTGTTATGGTGTCTGACGAACAGAAGGTAGAAAACTTGGAAAAAGAGGCAGTTAATAAGGAGAGAAGGAAGCTTACACTGAGCAGTATTCCATTCTCATTGACATGCATACTTCATAAGAATTACATCCTCGCAGATCCAACTGCTGAGGAAGAATCAATAATGGACACTCTTGTGACTGTTGTCTTAGATTCATCCAGTCAACTTGTGTCTCTATACAAACCAGGTGGACCAGTTCTTGCCTATACATCAGCTGTTCAGGTGAGTACACTTTTCTAACTTGGTATTTTGATGGCACTTAAAATCTAGTCTGATGAATTATGATATGTTATATGTTAAGTTATATTTGAATATTTGAATATTAGATTTCTAATGTGGGTCACATACATACAGACACATATATATAAATACATATATACATTTATGACATATAGCTGATAAGGAGGTTGATTCTTCGGTGGTTGCAGAATTGCATTGCATTAACAAGGCAGAGAGTAAAGGAACTTCAGGAGATCTTAGACGAAGCTATTTCTGGTATGGAAATTGACTGATTTTGATGTAAATCTGTTGAGGAGATTGTCCTATATCAGTTTAATATGTGGGTAGATATTTTGTTCTTTTAATTATATCTGTTTATTCTATCTTGTTTCTTTTGTCGCATTTACAACTGTGGAAGAGAATTTTGGAACCATTAGTCAATTTTGGTTGCATGTGGAAGAACTAATTAATTTCATTTCAAGAGCAGCTGATTTACGTTTGTTCTCAGGATAAACAAGTTAGATGTCATTCTTGAAAGGCAACTGATTGATTTAAACTGATTATCTACTACACTTTCCACTTTTAGTTAGTGTTTTTTATATGCTTCTTGTGGCTCTATGCTTGGTGTATACAAGATGTTTGCTATCTAAAATCTAAATGTGTGGGTACTTAATGTAACCCCCCTATGTTGCTACATTATCGTTAGAAATTATGTGGCGGTTTAGATTTCTGATGATTAATTGTGGGAGGTCAAATGCAAAGGGATGGATGTATCATTGTCTCCAAGCTTGATTGGCAAGCATGGTATTAATTCAAATGCTCTGCTATTTGCCTAATAGTCCATGAAATTTATGCAATACTTCTATTTATTCTGATCTAGAGCTTTAATGAGCTCCGCTGCTGTAATATCCGAACCCTGGAGCTGGAGATTGTCTTAAAAGAACTGGATTGTCCTTAAAGAGGAAAATGTAGTGAAAAAACAATTTCCCTATAATCGTTCTGTCATATGCATATGCAAATTTGTGTAAAAGCATGACTAAAAAATGATGGATGAGCTCAAATGGCTTATTTGTGCTTTTTTATACTATTGATCTCTACCTATAATAAATTATTCTTTTTAATGAAATGCCAATTCTTATTTCCCCATTATTGGTAACCCTCGCTAATCTATCTTACAATTGAACTACAAATTTGTTTCAAAGGAAAAGATATGTTAATTGACAATCCCTAAAATAAGTTTGTCTCTTAAAGCGAAGGTATTAATCCCTTCAAAGTTCATTTTGGGCAGAGGCACAGGCGCAAAAGCATTCATCGTCTAACAAATGTAAAGCCCTTAGTTTTAGACTTAAATTAAAACTTGCTTTCTTTCTGTGGCATATATTCAGTGGGCGGCCTCTTTTTAATTCCATCTTCTTGTTCAATTGCACCTTTCGCAGTTCACTTGGCAGAAAACTAATGTACGTGGTCCCATTGCCGTCACAGAAAAAATATCAATTCCTTTTCACTGAGAGACACAAACTCAAAAGAATCTATTACTCAGCAAAAAGGTTCCCAATTCCATGTCACCAAAAATCTTTCTTCAAGTCTCTCTCATCATCCACACTGAATCTTAATTTCCCTTATGGCACTTTGGGCAATCCAACTCAACCAATCAGAATTGAGGAAATTTCATCGTCAACAAACCTTTGAGATAGATAAGTACACACTCATGTTTCTCTCTCTTCCTTACGGCCTCAAACCAAACTCAACCTCAGAAAAACTAGTCCAATCATAATGATTAACTCTCTGACTACCCATTTCGCCACGTATTCCTTACCACCACCACTAACCATAATAACCAACAGTTTCGATTCTCAAAAATCCCTCTCTTCAGAAAAATATAAACTCACAGCCATTTACTTTGAGAAAAGAAGAGCAAGAAGCAGCTCTCAAAACACAAGCTGGAACTCATTCATAGAAAAGCTTTGATTTTTCTTATCAAATTTTTTAGCTTTCTCTATTTTCTTTCTCCCTTCTTCATCTCTCTATAATTTAGAAACACAGAGAAATAGACTACTCTGCTTGTAAGAGTTGTAAATTTTGTCCAACAATGGCTTACTTAGTATCTTCACCATTCACTTTACCATCTTTAAAGCCAGACCAACTCTCTTCAATCTCTCAAAAGAACATTTTTCTCCACTCATTCCTCCCCAAGAAAGCAACAAACCAACATAGTTCTAAATATTCCATTAAAGTAAAATGTGCTGCTGTTGGCAACGGTCTCTTTACACAAACAACACCAGAGGTCCGTAGAATTGTACCTGAAAATAAAGATAATCTCCCCACTGTAAAGATTGTCTATGTAGTACTTGAAGCTCAGTACCAATCCTCTCTCACGGCTGCAGTTCAAGCTTTGAATAAAAGTTCCAACTTTGCTTCATTTGAAGTTGTTGGATACTTGGTTGAGGAGCTTCGTGATGAAAATACTTATAAAACCTTTTGTAAAGATCTTGAAGATGCAAATATCTTTATAGGGTCTTTGATTTTCGTTGAGGAGCTTGCATTGAAAGTTAAGGCTGCAGTGGAGAAAGAGAGGGACAGGCTTGATGCAGTTTTGGTCTTCCCTTCAATGCCTGAGGTAATGAGACTGAACAAGTTGGGTTCTTTTAGTATGTCACAGTTGGGTCAATCAAAAAGTCCATTTTTTCAGTTGTTTAAAAGAAAGAAACAAGGTGCAGGTTTTGCTGATAGTATGTTAAAGTTAGTAAGAACATTGCCTAAGGTTTTGAAGTATTTGCCTAGTGATAAGGCTCAAGATGCTAGGCTTTATATATTGAGTTTACAGTTTTGGCTTGGGGGGTCACCTGATAACTTGCAGAATTTCTTGAAAATGATTTCCGGTTCTTATGTGCCTGCCTTGAAAGGGCAAAAGATTGAGTATTCTGACCCAGTTCTGTTCTTGGATAGTGGTATTTGGCATCCTTTGGCTCCTTGTATGTATGATGATGTGAAGGAGTATTTGAATTGGTATGGTACTAGAAGAGATGCTAATGAAAAGCTTAAGGGGCCTGATGCACCAATTATAGGGCTGGTTTTGCAAAGGAGTCACATTGTAACTGGTGATGAGAGTCACTATGTGGCTGTGATTATGGAGTTAGAGGCAAAAGGAGCTAAAGTCATTCCAATTTTTGCTGGTGGGCTTGATTTTTCGGGACCGGTTGAGAAGTTTTTCATCGATCCGGTTACTAAGAAACCAATGGTGAATTCAGTTGTGTCACTGACTGGTTTTGCTCTTGTTGGGGGTCCAGCAAGGCAGGATCATCCCAGGGCTATTGAGGCACTGATGAAGCTTGATGTTCCTTACATCGTTGCATTGCCATTAGTGTTTCAAACAACCGAGGAATGGTTGAATAGTACTTTGGGGCTGCACCCTATTCAGGTAGCTTTGCAAGTTGCTCTCCCAGAGCTTGATGGAGGGATGGAGCCCATTGTTTTTGCTGGTCGGGATCCAAGAACTGGTAAGTGAAGCTTCTTTAATGTGTCTGATATTTCATTTTATTAAATCTGTTTATTGTCATTTTTTTTATATATTTTAGGATTCATTAAAGTAACAGTTAGACATACCTCAGAGGGAGAGAATACTAATTTTACACAATTGAAAGAATACCTAAAGAAGAAAAAAGAAATGCTATTTAAGTGAGTCTTTACCATTTGAAAGCTTTTGCACGGGGCCAGAAACTGTGTAGTTTCTGTTTATTGTCATACTTAAAGTAGTTTATATGCTGCCATTCCTTAAGGTTAGTGAATACTCTGATGTGATTGCAGGGAAATCACATGCTCTTCACAAGAGGGTGGAGCAGCTCTGCACCAGGGCAATTAAATGGGCTGAGCTGAAAAGGAAATCAAAGGTATTTGTTTATTTTGCTACTGTACAAAACTATTGGCCTTTTTATTTTTTCCCAGTTGGTTTTCTGCAGATATATTTTACTATCAAACAATAAAGAGAAAAGTGGACACTAACACTTTCACTTTGAAAGGGCTTCCTTGTGTTTAGGTTTAAGTAAGCTGCTTACCTATAATGCTTGATAGAGTAATGTTTTATTCATCTAATATTTTATTATACAGCAAGCTAAATAGAAAGAAGGTTGAAGAATAATCTCTTAAACCTTCACCTATAAATTAAATAGCTTTACATATAATCTATCAATTGGCCATGAATTTGCTTCTTTGTTCTTGTGTTTAATTTTATATTTGACAATGGAAAGGATAAGAGAGATTCAAGCAACTTAATTTTTCATACTTTGAAATCTATATTTTAATTAATTTTTTAGGACACTTTGTTTTTGTGATCAGTTTTTTATAAGTCTTCTCTTTCCTATGATTTCACTCGTCTAGATTGCATAAGAGTATTATTCATGGAGCAAATGAAATATTCATATGCCCCCTTAATTTAAAGTTCTGGTCTCTCAATTATTTTTAGGGGTATGTTTTCTGCTGTAAGGAGAACATGAATAGATTAATTTTTTTTTTTTCAGAACTCTAATGAGAAGTATGTGAATTAATGCAGGCAGAGAAGAAATTAGCAATCACTGTCTTCAGTTTCCCTCCAGACAAAGGAAATATTGGAACAGCTGCTTACCTCAATGTCTTTTCCTCAATTTTCTCAGTCTTAAAAGAACTCAAAAGAGATGGTTACAATGTTGAGGGACTTCCAGAGACTTCAGAAGCTTTGATTGAAGAAGTTATTCATGATAAAGAAGCTCAATTCAGCAGTCCGAATCTAAACATTGCTTACAAAATGGGTATCCGAGAGTATCAAAACCTAACTCCCTATGCCACAGCATTAGAGGAGAACTGGGGAAAACCTCCTGGGAATTTGAATTCTGATGGGGAGAATCTCTTGGTATATGGAAAGCAGTATGGTAACATATTCATTGGGGTCCAACCCACCTTTGGTTATGAAGGTGATCCGATGAGACTACTTTTCTCCAAATCTGCTAGTCCGCATCATGGATTTGCAGCTTACTACTCCTTAGTTGAGAAGATTTTCAAAGCTGATGCAGTTCTTCACTTTGGTACTCATGGTTCACTTGAATTCATGCCAGGAAAGCAGGTGGGAATGAGTGATGTGTGTTACCCGGATAGTCTAATTGGGAATATTCCCAACGTGTATTACTATGCAGCTAATAACCCATCAGAAGCAACTGTAGCCAAACGCCGGAGTTATGCCAATACCATTAGTTATTTGACACCTCCGGCTGAAAATGCAGGGCTTTACAAGGGCCTCAAGCAGTTGAGCGAGCTCATTTCCTCATACCAATCACTTAAAGACACAGGCCGTGGGCCACAGATTGTGAGCTCCATTATCAGCACAGCTAGACAATGCAATCTTGACAAAGATGTAGAACTTCCTGACGAGGGAGAAGAAATCTCAGCCAAGGAACGTGATCTTGTGGTTGGAAAAGTATACTCTAAAATCATGGAGATCGAGTCCCGACTTTTGCCTTGTGGACTGCATGTAATTGGTGAGCCTCCATCTGCCTTAGAAGCTGTCGCAACACTGGTCAACATTGCTGCTCTGGATCGTCCTGAGGATGAGATTAAATCACTCCCTTCTATACTAGCTGAGACTGTTGGAAGAAATATAGAGGACATCTATAGAGGAAGTGACAAGGGCATATTAAAGGATGTAGAGCTTCTGCGACAAATAACTGAGGCATCACGTGGGGCAATAACTGCTTTTGTCGAAAGAACAACTAATAAGAAGGGTCAAGTTGTTGATGTGGCTGACAAGCTTAGCTCTATCCTCGGATTTGGCATTAATGAACCGTGGGTTCAGAACTTGTCAAACACAAAATTTTACCGGGCAGATAGAGATAAACTAAGGACATTGTTTGAATTCCTAGGAGAGTGTTTAAAGTTGATTGTAGCTGACAATGAGTTGGGCAGCTTGAAACAAGCTTTGGAGGGCAAATATGTGGAGCCAGGTCCTGGTGGTGACCCTATCAGAAACCCAAAAGTGTTGCCAACAGGAAAGAATATTCATGCACTTGACCCACAATCTATTCCCACAACAGCAGCAATGCAAAGTGCAAAAGTCGTAGTGGAGAGGTTGGTGGAAAGACAGAAGGTTGACAATGGGGGAAAGTATCCTGAGACGGTTGCACTGGTGTTGTGGGGAACGGACAATATTAAAACTTATGGCGAATCACTAGCCCAGGTTTTGTGGATGATTGGGGTTAGGCCTGTGGCTGATACATTTGGTAGAGTCAACCGGGTTGAGCCAGTTAGTCTTGAAGAACTTGGAAGGCCCAGGATTGATGTTGTTGTTAACTGCTCAGGAGTTTTCAGAGATCTCTTCATAAATCAGGTATCTATCCAGATGTTCGCTTTTTTATTTGCTTTGTCACATTATGCTAAGACATGAAATGTTGTTTCCTTTTTGGGCTGACATGTGGTTGAGTCAAGTTTCTGAAGTAAGAACCATGGATTATTTAGTTGATGATTTGAAACAGCTCTATGTTCACATGCTTTCTCTTGCCTCCCATTTTACTTCTTTTTGTTTTTTCCAGTTTTTGGTTTTTCCTTTTTCTGATTACTGTTTCTTTGAAAATGTTGTTCACAGATGAACCTCCTTGACCGTGCTGTGAAGATGGTTGCCGAACTAGATGAACCAGCTGAACAGAACTATGTCAGGAAGCATGCACTGGAACAAGCCGCAGCCCTGGGTGTTGAAGTTCGAGAAGCTGCTACTCGCATCTTCTCGAATGCTTCAGGCTCCTACTCCTCCAATATAAACCTTGCTGTTGAGAATTCCTCATGGAATGACGAGAAACAGCTCCAAGACATGTACTTGAGCAGGAAGTCTTTTGCATTTGACTGTGATGCCCCTGGTGTAGGCATGACTGAGAAAAGAAAAGTTTTTGAGATGGCTCTGAGCACAGCAGATGCCACATTCCAAAATCTTGACTCCTCAGAAATCTCACTAACTGATGTCAGCCACTACTTTGATTCAGACCCAACAAATTTGGTCCAGAACTTGAGGAAAGATGGAAAGAAACCTAGTGCATACGTTGCTGATACTACCACAGCTAATGCTCAGGTAAACATTGTGAAGTTGTTAGTTAAAAAATTGCGATATTTACTCAGTCATAATTTTCAGATCTTATTCAAGTGCCTTACAGATTCTCATAAATGTCAGGCTCTAGTTCCTCGGATACATTTTTGCTAATTTAAGTCAAATTATTTCTCTGCAGGTACGAACACTTGCTGAGACCGTGCGGCTTGATGCACGAACAAAATTGTTGAACCCCAAGTGGTATGAAGGAATGATGTCAACTGGCTACGAGGGTGTTCGTGAAATTGAGAAGCGTCTTACAAATACAGTAGGGTGGAGTGCAACTTCAGGCCAAGTTGACAACTGGGTTTATGAGGAGGCTAACTCTACTTTTATCCAAGATGAGGAGATGCTGAACAGGCTCATGAGTACTAATCCCAATTCATTCAGGAAGTTGGTGCAGACATTCCTGGAGGCTAATGGACGTGGCTACTGGGAAACTTCAGAGGATAATATTGAGAAGTTGAGGCAGCTGTACTCGGAAGTCGAAGACAAGATTGAAGGAATTGATCGATGAACAATAAATAAACTGTTAAATATGTAGTTCCTAGAATGCAAATATCAATTCACACTGATGATTAATCCAAGCCCCCTTTTTCTCACTCTTGCTGTAAGATGATTGGATGTAACATAAAGGGAGGTTTGGAATGTGAATTTGTCCATAATATTGAGGATGTAATTTAATCTGTTTCCAGGAACCTTAAATCTTTTTGCTTTTACTGCAGAATATCAGTTAAAGTTGCAGAGAAAAGTCATTGCTATTTGATGTTCCCTCATAACCTCGTGAATATCATTATTTTTCCATTGTCAGTTCTCATGTTCCTGAAAACACTTAAAAAGAACAAATTGAAGAGTAGTCCAGAAGAACATTTATTTTACCATTATATAAGCTGCAACTTAAATTATAAGGTTATACAAATTGTGTAAAAATAAATTGAAAGAAGAAAGTGATGAAGCAAAACACCTCACAGCTATGAGATTTCAGAGAATTCAATATGCTTTCTATCTTCAGTCATAGAAGAGAAACAAATACAAGTAAATGTCCCTGAGCAAAGAATCTTAGAAATTCCAATAAAAAATTTGAATGCCAACAACAGTTTTTCTGTCACATATTTATGAGCCAGGATGAACATAATTCCTCTTTAGAGGGAATCTCCTACCAGTAAATGAATCATACAAGCTAATCTACAAATGAAGTTACAAAAAAGAAAGAGGAAAAAAAAAAAAAAAAACACCCGCCTAATGAAAAAATAAAAAAAATAAAAAGAAAATAGAATTTAGTATTAAAGTTACAAAGTGATGGTACATGTTTTTTCTCCTCTCTATTTGTGGTTCTTTTATGTATCAAAGTTGCTCTTACCATCAAACTAACTCCAACAGGAGAGGGTCACCTTCTGCCATTATTCTTATCAGTTTTATGAAATCCTGTTCACTTGACACATTCCATGGGTGAACAGCGGGCGCTTCAACAGAATAGAAGGTTGAATTAGAAGGTGGCAATTTCCTCTTATAGATCATTGTACTAAATACGGAGTCAAAATTTTGCGGTGAATCCATTGCTGTGAAGAACATGGGTATGGCAACCTTGTAATGCATTTCTAAATTGCCGACCAGATTAACAAGATCAACGAAGTCAGAAGCAAGGTGCTGAGGGATGTAAAATATCTCAGAACTACATATAGTAAGGCTTTGGTCACTTTTCATAGCTTCCTTGTAGTTGACTTGGAAGTGAGCCGGCATCGTTCTAACTACTTCTTTTACCATCTCTGCTTGTTTTGAATACCACTCTGAGTTTCCACTGGTTGACACAGTAGTCCAAGATTTTGACACCTACAATTTCATTTAGTTTGTCAGAGCAGTTACATGATTATTTATTATCATGATTATCATGGGAAAGAAACAGTGGAAGACTCTTTGATATGATATGATGTTATAATGATAATTCTAAATGTTGCTTCGACTAAAATAAAGTTTGGTACAAGAAGTAAAGGGGAAGCAAAGTTATAAAGGCCTTTACAACCATAAAATAGTGATAATCAAGTAATCAACACAACAAAAATACAAGGAAAAAATAAACAAATAAAAACCAGCTTTAAAATGAAGATGCTATGAGAATATGGGAAAGAAAGCACCAAGAGGATACTTAGTGAATAATACCGTATCAGTGATCCAGAGCTTATTCTTGTCCGCTTGCAACAAATTCCAGTAATTAAGAATGGTATCATCCTGAAGGAATAAAAAGCCTTCTGCACTGCTATACCGTTCAAAGATCTTGGGCAAATACCTAAAATGATATAAAAAAATATAATCAGTGAATATGAGTGACTGGTTGTGTTACCTAACTCCACTTTGAAAATAGATATTACATAGCCATGTTAGATATGTAACAGTTTTTTATGTCAGACTACCACCCGCAAATTGCCATAATATTGACAGCATAACAACTAAAGGTTGCTTCTAAGAGAACCTTAATTCAAAAAGTTGTCAAAAACAACAACAAAGCAGACTTTTTTAACAAAAAATAGAGATAAATGGAATAAATAAATAAATAAAGAAAATGAAGGAAAAAAAGACATCTAAGAACCACCTTTGCCATATAGAAAAAGCTAAATTGCGATTCAATTGGCATGCCAAACACTTGAAGAAATGAAACTTGTTTTCATTCATGTTGGACACTCAAAGGAAGTTAACGTTTAAGTATAAAAGAAAATACATGAAATTATGCCGGTTACTATACTCTTTGGTCAGGATATTTCCACATAACTATAGTTTAGTAACTGTTTCGAAATCGCTGGTACTTCTACAAGCAAACATAACCATCTAATAGTATAAATTTTTAAACACCAACATACCTAACCATGTTCCACATCTAGATTTCTGAAAGTGGGTAGGTCCAACATCCGTCAAAACATGACCCTCTACTTCTCCATAGATTATAGATCAATATCCTCTCCAAACACTAATTATTTTTTCAAAAAAATGGAGCCCAAATAACTAAAATCTTATCATGGCGTACTTCATTGAACAGTAACAATAGAATCAACAACATAATTTTCAGTTGGTTTCATATTGTACAGACACAGCAGTAAAAATTTTATAAGTCTAATCAAAGTTTCTTGTGTCATTTGCTCTCAGGCATGTATCTCCAAACACAATTCAAGTTAACTGACAACACACATCCAAGGCCATAAAGACAGCATATGACAAAATGGTCACCTTCAACTCAGTAGTCAGAAAAAGATGCCCCTGTAGATAGGTATAGATCCACATAACAACAGATCATGCTTGGCGCAGACCAAGTTAACTCATCTATCTCATGTCTGCTATAAAAGTTTTATTTCCTTATTGATACCTTAACTTATAATGTTAATAAACAAGATTCTGAAGACAAAAAGGCCAAATTTTCACAAAAGGGTATTCCACATGACAAGCTGATGCCTCAGAGACGATACAACTAGTCGTAACAGACTTGATGGCCAACCATCATTAATGTTTATAACCTAAACAATAACTTTCCAAGACCTATGTCTGCACTTGTAAACTGATCAGAAAGATCTAATATAGGGGTGACAAAGTTAACAAGTCATGTAAAATTCTTTCAAAGCTCTTCCTATCCTAAACCAATTAGCTAACAGTAAAAATGATAGGGCCCTGAACATGAAAATCCAAAACGAACAATAAAAGGGATTTACAAGCCAAATGCATAAATTGAAAAAAAAAAAAAAAAAGTAAAAATGAAGTAAATTATACATACTTGTACACTTGGTCCAAGTGGCCTGCTTGAACAGCAAGATCTTCATTCTCCTGCTCTGACAAAATAATCACAGTTTTGAATATCCTTCCATAAAGCAGTCTCCATTCTAAAGCAGTACGCTCTACAGGCCCATTGCAGAACATAATGAGCACAACCTTCCCAAAATTCTTCCTCCACCGAATCAAATTCCCAATCTCATAATCTACAGTCCCAGTTTCCTCAACTCCAAGATGGATGGAGGGCAACTTGCGAGGGACAAACTCCTTCCTATCCCCATGACCAATATTTGCCCGTGGCCGATCCAGTTCTAATGACATTAGCCTTGGCTGCTGGTATCCAACAGCAAGCAAGTCCTGAAGCCAAGCAGCAGTAAACCTCAAATCCTGCTCAGTCCAAAACCCTTCTTCTGCCATAGCATGACTCAATTCTAAAATCTTCTCAAACAACCTATGCTTGTTTGATCTCCATGAAATCAAGAACTTAATCATACGACCCACATTCACATGAAGATCTTTCTCCTCTGAAAAAGGATATGCCTCAATTTTATCATATCGATGAACCGTAGGTGGATAAACCACAACATAACCACCAATCTCCCACAATAGCCTTTGTCCCCAATAACCCCTCAGCACATCTGATGCCATTGTACTAACAGAAACAGGAAGCATCAATGCCCAAAATGCTGAAGAATGATAAATTGTATTAAACGAATTCACTGGCACCATCATCCCCTGCGGCAACGCAACTTTCGGGGCACGATCATCAAACCGGATATCAAAAGCTTCCAAACCAGATTTCCTAGTAAAATAAAAAACTGAATCAACGTCTGGCAACCCATTCGAAATCCCTTGTTGTATAAACTGTTTTCCACCAAAAACCTCAGTATAAAACTCTTCATGACCAATTTCACCTACATTTTCCAATGGCAATCCCCTAGGCCAGACGGACCGTTGCCCGAAATGCACATAAGGGTTAACAACAGTCCTATTAGGATTGTCATGACTATACTGCAATAAAGTTTCTTGCCTAGCACCTTCACCAACTAACTCTACATCAAAATGTTTACCTAAATCATCCCCAATAACATCCCCTCTATCATCAGCATCAAAGATCTTTTTAGCACCATGTTGTATAGCAAACAAATACCCACAAGTTTTCCTAACATAAGAATCATAAGGCAAGAAATCCAAAACACGAAAACCCAAATTCGCTTGCATATCCAAAGACAAAAAAATCGCACCTTTCAAGCTCCAATCTTTAGGAGTCCTCGAATTCCCCATTGCCAGCACTTGCCATCCCTTGATCTTCACCAACTTCTTCAACGAATCAGTCGGGTACCTACCCACCGAAACAATAATCCATTTCTCTGATCGAAACTTATTATACACAGACGATGTATCAGTTATGCGCTGGATTGAATTCCACTTGATTTCAGGTAACTTAATTGCATTTGGAGAGTGTTCTTTGGACGTAGTCTGAAGAAGATTAGTTCTATCACTGTAATTCCGAAGGTAAAAAAGACCAACTATGGTGCTAATCAAAAGAATAATAACAACAATTTTGTACAGATTCTCAGATACCCATGTGGAGAAATCAAGAGATTTGGATTCACTAAAACGAGGAAGGGACGATCTGATCTGGGATTTAGGAGATTTTGGAAGAGAACGATCTTGGACCAACATTGAATCAGAACTCAAAAGATTCTAACTCTGCTCTATCAGTTTGACTAGAAACTTAAACAAAACACAAACACATTGACGGAAACACTAAAAGATTGACTCTTTTTTCACTTGGCGAACTCCAAATGAAGCGAGTGTTGCAGTGTTGTGTTTGAGTTTGAGTTTGAATGTAAAATGAGAAATGAAATATGAGCATGTGATTTTGTGGTTGCCGACAGGAATGATTGGGAAGAGATTTCAGATTTGAGATTGAGATTTCTTAAGCTTCAATGTAATGTTGTAACTGCTACTAGTTTGGTGGGGTGGAGGTCACCGGGTCGCTGTCTTCTTTGTTTTAAATAAATTTTATATCAAAATAATATTTATGGTTAGACTTAGATTGATTGAGTAATTATGAATTTGCAATGGCTGTTGTTAGGAGTTAGGACGTCAAATTTATATATATTACAATATTGTATCTTGTTTCTTTTATGGGCAATATTGTACCAACTCTATTATTATTAGACATTTCATATTTAAAATGCAACTAAGAAAATTATTTGGCAATTAGGGAAATTTTTAATAATTTAATTTCTTTCTTTTGGATGTGACACAATTTTATATTTTTATGATGTGTGATTATAACTTTATTTCTTTAATAAAAAGTTACATTCATTCATACGAAAATATTAAATCCATGATTTCATATCAGAATATATATTTAAGGAAAATCAAAGATTTGTGAAAAGAAAGAAATTACATTATTCATTTACACAAATTTATAATTTTTTGATTTTCGAAAATAACTTCATTTATTTACGCTAACTTTTAAGAGTGAATTTTACTTAGATCTTTTCTTTTTTAATCAATAATTATTTCTGAATAGCCGAGTGATTTAATAGAGACTTGTAGGTGTATTATTTAAAAGATTTTGAGTTCGAGTCCCTTTTCGGGTGCTAATAAGGTAATCACTTGAGCTCTTATCCGACCGGTAGTTTCAAGGTCTTGAAAGATTAGTTGAGATGCAGGGAAACTGACCCGAATACCTGTTAGTTATAAAAAAAAAATAAAAAAAAAACTTTTTTTGTTTGATAATACAAATTTTGTAAAATAAAATAAAATTGATGATGATGGTGTTAATTCAATTGGCAAATGGAAGGTAGCTTTGTTTTTTTGTTTCGACAAGGAGATTCCATCATGGAGTGTAACATTAGAAGCAGATGATCTGTAAGGTGGGGGCCACGGATTTCTTATTATGAACAAAATATGAACCGTTGGATCGAGCACATAAATAGCATGTGCATGTGGAATGATGATTTTAAGGCCAACTATGAAGCCTACATGCCAAGCAACTTCAAACTAACTTGTTATACTTGTTGGGAATTAAGGCTGCCAGTGGAACCAGCTTCAAGTACAAGTTAAAAATTTATATAGAGTAATGCTACAGTTACCGACGGGTGTGCACTAAATTTGTGCATCAAATGACGTAGCACAATCCTGACCGTTGATTTATTATCAGTAAATATTAATAAACAGTCAGGATTTTGCCACGTCATTAGGTGCACAAATTCGGTGTAAACTTTCGGTAACTCTATCATTTTCCATTTATATAATAAAAAATATATTAATTCTTTTTAAATATAAAAAATTATTTTATGGTTGTACATTTTAGAAATCTTTTATTCAGAAATAATTTTATGCATTAGTAAGTTTTGCATACCTTATCAAAAACTATGATTAGATCATAATTTGGCAAATTTCAATTTGTAGGGTTAGGTTTTAGGAAATTTAAGTTAATTTCGTCAAGATCGTACTTATATATCCAGGATGATTTGGCTAAAAAAATTTATTCAACCAAGGAAAATTAAAATATTAAAAAAGTTTTTTTTGGGTGAACCTCAATGTTATAAGAAAGCTTTTAGGCCTCATTTGGATTGAAATATTCTAAATGAATGATTTCCTTAAATCCATGGATTTTTTAAAATCCTTCGTTTGGTTTTAAGAAATAAAAGTTGAAATCCATGAATTTTGGAAAACCTACCACCCTCCAAAATCTTTCATTTTTGAGGGTTTTAATAAAAAATAAAAATAATTAGAATTATGCATAATTCAATTAGAAATAAATGATATAAATTGTTTTACCATGACAATTAATATATATTTAATACATAATAAAAAAGAAACAATTATGTATTATTAAATAAGATAATTTGAAGATACAATAAAATCAAAACTAATTTGAACAAAAATATTTAGCAAATTTATGAAAATTACTATAACAATTATATAGTTAAAGAAAATTGACATAATATTATAAACATGACAAATGAAATTTAAGAAAATTATATGAGATGAAATTAAATTCTTAACATATTTTTACGTTTTGTTTCCCAAAAATATGGTGAAATTAATTAAAAAAGATTATTTTCTGTTTAATTATATTTGTTTTTCAAAAGACAAAAAACAAAACCTATTTTTGACATGCAAATATGGAATGAGAATAATGTCAGCATATTCTCATTTCTATTGTATTTTAGATATTATTCTGTTTCCTTTATTACAGAGATTGCATCACTATTGTAATATTTTATATCCTTACATAGCTATTTCACTTTTGTATAAATGGACTGTGTATTCACATACAATTCACAATAATTTAATACAATACAATAAAATTGAATTCATCCAAAGATATCTATCTAGCATACTCCGGCTTTCTTCAAATTACCTCTCTTGCCCTCTCAATTCTGACATGGTATCAAAGCATCCAAGTTTAGGATAATGACTAGCTGTTTATATGGATATATGCATGTCTAGGAAAATTCTGTCAACAAGATAATAAATGTCTAAGGATGCTAGGTTTTAAGTGGGACCATTTGTGACCTCTCCAGTGTTTCTTGGGAATTTTATTGAGTTGAATCAACTTCCGATCAACTAACCTCTTTTTTTTGTCCTTGCAATTCATACAAATACTTGGTTAGCACAATACTCAACTAGCCTCTTTTTTTGTCCCTACAAATCAAGCAGATACTCGGTTAGATTTTCCAATGGCAAACAATTAAACCTCAAACTCTAACAGAATCACCAACGTTTGCATCTTTTATGCAAGCTTGTGGTTGTAAACCACAAGCTTGAGTGGGAGTGATAGAATATGAATGTCATGATTATGGCTAATCATTAAGATTACGCCAATCACCTAAAATCACTCAATCAATCAATTCCTCAATTGAGTATAATTACATTATTGTCATTGACAATCACCCAAAATCACTCAATCAATCAATTCCCTGATTGAATATAATACATTATTTTGTTTCTTTATTGTACAGCTAAACTTTTATATAAATAGGTGATGTATTCACAATTCAAAATATTTCAATACGATACAATTAAATTCATCTAAAGATATCTCTTGGGCATACTTTGACCTTTCAATTGTCTCTCTTGCCCTCTCCAAGATATATCTCAGGCATACTCTGACCTTTTAGTTGTCTCTCTCGACATACTTTAACTTTCTTCAAATTGTCTCTCTTGCACTACAACAAAAATGGCCTATGGTAACATGCAAAAAGTGTTACCGTAGGTAATTCGTAGCATTTATAAGGATTAGCCCATGTCACTAAAAAGCAGACATTGGTAACACTTTTCGCATGTCACTAATCATTTCAGTAACTGTCATAAAATGCTGTTGTTAAGTATATTGTAGCACTTATTCGTAGTTACGAATGATTTTTGGTAACATTGCATAAATGCTATAAATAAGTTTTCTGTAACATTCTTAACGTGTTACAGTTTAGTTTTCTGTAACATTTTCAAAATGCTATAAATAAGTTTTCTGTAACATTCTTAACCTGTTACGGTTTAGTTTTTTGTAACATTCTCAAAATGCTATAAATAAGTTTTCTGTAACATTTTTAACCTTTTACAATTTAGTTTTCTTCACCTGAACCGTAGCTTCACTGATTTGCCTCTTAAAGGATGAGGGCTTCCATTTAGGGTTCAATAGGTTATGGGTATTGGAGATTTTAAGCTAAAATTTTGATGAAACCAATGATTTTCACTAGATTTTTACTTAATGAAGATGATTAAGTGTAGGGTATTTTGTTTGAATGAGTAGGTTGGATGAGTTGAAAATGCTTTAAGTGTAGGGTGGCTTCATTGACATAACGAAAATTGTGTTAGAAAGAAGCAAAATTGAAAGTGGCGTGAATTGGAGAAGATGAGTGAATAAGGACAAAGGTACTTGGTATGTTTATAACGAAAATTGTGTTAGAAAGAAGCTTGGAGCTGAAATTTTAGTAAAGAAGCAAAATTGAAAGTGGCGTGAATTGGAGAAGATGAGTGAATAAGGACAAATGCATGTGGTATTTTTTTTTTTTGGGGGGGGAATTTTTTCTTTGGTGGCTAGAGAAATTTTTTCCCGGTTAAAGTTTAGGAAAATAAAATTTGTTATTATATTTTGATTTAGTAACACTTTAAGTGTTACAATATTTTAATTTAATGAAATCAACATTATTTCAATACATGCAAATTGCCTACGGGTCGGGATGCACTGCCCCTTGCACCCCTACCCATTGATCGAGCAACGAGACACCCAAATGTGTATGTGTGACCCCTTGTTGTTGAAATGATGGACAACTCCAACACTTGGGAGATGAAACGACACCAAAAAGTGACGAAACGACATCAAAAAGTGACGAAATCACACCGAGAATTAAGGTGAAGAGTCAAGACAGTGAAATGACTTTTTCAAGTGAGATTTTGAGTCAACCAAGCTTACGAAAGGTGGATCTGACTTTGGGGAGTATGGACTAGCCCCTAGGATGTCTAGAAGTTGCCAAAAAACTAAGAAATTAAAGTCATCAAGAAGATGAATGGTCACAGATGGAGGAAGCTTAATGGTCATTGGAATCCAGGAATGTCTTACGTGATGATGGCCAGCCATTGGAGAAGGCAAATGCTCGTTAAAGGTGGAAGTTGGACAGTCTCTAAAAAATGGATGAAGATGGGTGGACGTTTTTTAGCTTTGCATTTAACCTTCCATCTTCCTTTTATACTATTTGTAAAAAACATTTGTTTGGTCCCTACATGAATGAGATCTAACAAAGTAAAGCCCAAATAGTAAATTTGACCCCTAAACAATAAAAATGAGACAAAATCAACCTCATTTCATATTAGCGGGAATAATATTTTGTTTTCCGATAAATAATTGGGTTTATGGTAACACTTATAAAATGTTACTGTATTTTGATTATATGGTAACATT